CACGGTATTTAGAAGTGCCCATGATAACAATATCGTGTATATTCATTACCGTGATATATCGCATTACCGAATACCGGCACAAGTCTATCGTAGACTTGCTGCAATTAACGGAAATCCGTCTTAGTGATTTGAAAATTCCGATTCGACTATGAAAATCCTTAGTCGGCGACACCCCTAAACAATATATAAAAAATATAACATTACCAAGTTACACTGATACTATGGTTTTTAAACACTACTTTGAAGAATACCATGGTATTACTATGAGGTTAATGTAAAAAAAAAAAAAACAGTATAACCATTGTGCCAAATCCAAAATCCACGGTGATACAATGGAACGTATGATGAGAAGAAACCTACTCAGTAACGTTTTAAAAAGATCAATCTCTTAAAAAAGTGCTATAGTACAGTGTATCGGACGGTAAAGCCATAGTACTTTTTTTTGCAAGATAAGAATAAATCTGCTTAAGTGCAGCACTTTGAAAATTAGCTCTTTGACAAAAACTGATTTTACACTTTCTGAACAAAATGTGTGTGGTGCTTGCCACTATTGGCACCATGATGCTAAGAAGTGTTTTCAGAGCTTTGCTATGAGGTTGCTTACTGGCTCAAGTCACAAAAGCTCACATCTGCTTCCTATATGCTATAGTTTCATATTAAAGTTTAATAATTTGGGATAAGAGTTTGTTCAAATCCTGAACTATGTATGAGCAATAGTAGTACCTTTAAGCTAAACGCAAGCAGCACTAACTAGACAAACTTCGGAGGAACCCCTACCATCGTTCCCAAGTCAATTTCATTTTGTCTTCCTATTTAGCAATTATTTATCTGTCTCTCTTCCCCTCTTCTTGCCTGCTCCCCTCCTGCATCCAGTGGTGAGTCACTGGTGGGAGGAATGGAAGAGAGCAATCTTCCTCTTTTAATCCCTCCTTTTCAGGGGGCGAAAAAGCTGCAACCGCTCTGGTTGAGAGGGATACCCTCGATCTCCAGTCACCAAGCCCCCGCATGTGCGTCCCAACACTCATCAGGAACTTGCCTACGCACTTAAGCTCTCGAAAAGTGCAGTGACAGAGTCATCGGAAAGACATTAGATGGATCTTAAAAGTCTAACGATGACACAGAATCCACACAGCTGCTTCTAGTTCAATAAAACAAAATAATACATTTAAGATAAAAAAAAACATCTTGTTTCATAACAAATGACGTTAAGCTGTGTTACGTGCATAGGCTTTGCATGGTAACTCATGCAGTCACTACGCTGCTTTTTCATGACTGAAATTCGCTCTACACTAAAGCCGAAGAATATTTCTGAATAGTGTTGATAGCTTTGCATGTTATGCAAAGTAGAACGGGAATGGGGAAAGATGATAAAGGAGAAAGGGATAAATATAGAAAGCCGTCTTAACAAGTCGTTATCAGAATGGCAAACAAAGGTAACTGCAATTTTAGAAGGTCAGTGATCCTTACAAGGTCAAGAAACTAAAACTACTTGTTGGTGGCTCTGTAAATTCCTTAAGATGAGTGTAATTTTTTCTATTTAAAATAGCAATGGCATAACGTTGGGGTGGAACTAGCAGTTTGTTAGACAAACAGCAGATGGAGGCAAGTTCAGGAAACCTTGTTGAAATAGTCATAATTTTGTCCAATTCTGTTTGGTGACACTAATGTAGGGCTGCAACAACTAATCGATAAAATCGATAATGAAAATAATCGACAACGAAATGTCATTATCAATTAGTCGCGTCTGCCCACCGTGCACGGAAAACTTCCACCAGTCGCGTCAAATTACAGCAGTGAATAACACATTTCTATAGACAAAATGCATCTAAAAATAGCAGATGAAACAGAGTGAGCTGCTGCGCGAAAGATGCGTGATCCAAGCTGCCCAAAACATGAGAATGTGAATGCTTAATTTTAAACTTCAAGCTAATGCATTAGCTAATGTTTAACACGGCTTGTCCTATCAGGTGCTTTGACAGATGCATGTGCTGTTTAATGTGTGAGATGTTTCCTCAGTGCATAATCTGCATTTTACGGTTATATCCTTTTCTGTAAATGTTACATATTCACGTGAATGTTTCTATTTTGCATGAAGGCTTGTCCTGACAGTCGGTGTTAAACTTCAGACTTCACTGAAAGTGCGCCGGCGATCAGGAGAACGAACACACACACACACGAAATCGTCTGCCTCATGAAAAAAATGTATTTAAAAAAAATGTAGTTAATATTTGCATCATTTATGATTTATTTTATCCACCCGCAAATAATGAGAATGTATTTTTTATTACCCGACCCGCGTATTATCCGCAGCGCCCGTGGATATAGGAAAAGCAAAATAAGTTAATATTTTTTAACATAATACGTAAATCAGACGGACTTACTGAAAATGCAAATTCATTCATTCTTTGCCAGCAGGAGGTGCTTTAAAGCGGGAGAAACCGCGGTTTCCCCAGTAACGGCTGTACAAAAAGCAGCGCTGAGCTCACAAATGCTACTTTATCAGGCATATAACATGCAAGATGAAATGAAAATGACATCGAAAATTTTCCTTCAGAAATACAGTGATATAAAAACACCAGCGCCTCGTTTTGATATTTAAAGGTGCAGTAGGCCTACGTGCTCATGTTTATTCAACGAAGCCTTTTGGAAAATCGGTAAGTTTTGATATTGTGGCGAACGCCACAAATAAATAAATGTATGTGAAACACATCCCACAGCACAACCACCTGAGCCCAACTTCAGTCTACTCATCACCTTAATTTAATTGCTTTTAGTAGGGGGCCATAGCCAGACTAACAAACAAACACAGACCAGAAGTTAACTTCGGGCCAGGAGCGTGCGCCAGATGAAACCTTCTATATACAGCTTGAAGCATCAGAATCAGCACCGTTATCGGCCGATCACCATGACAAGAAATCGGTACTCAGTATCAGCTGCAAAAATCCTGATCGGAGCATCCCTAATATTTACCGTACAATAAGTTTTCATAGCATGCAGTTGGCACTTTTGTTTGAAGGACAACATTGGGCAGGATGTGGAATAGTGTTTTGTAAAAAAAAAAAAAAAAAAAAAGAGGCCTATTCTCCGATTAATCGATTAATAAAAAAAAAAGAAAAGAAAAAAATAATCGGCCCACTAATCGATTATCAAAATAATCGTTATTTGCAGCCCTACATTAATAGCACAGAAATGACCAAAACATTCAATTTAAAGAAGACAACAAGCTGTAATTTCTCACCTGGCCATAGGGGGCACCCTCTTCATCACATTCCCTCAGTTCAATGGCTTCATCATCATCATCATCATCATCATCTTCCTCCAAGTCACTTTCTGTGCTTTCTCCCTTCAACTGAACCAGACATTCGGAAGGGGGTGTGGTCTCACCAGAGCTCTCTTTCTGTAGCCCCTCCCTTACATGATCAAGCCCCTCCCCTCGCTCGTCCTGCATCTCTGCGGTTTCCGTAAGCTCCTCTTCAGTCTCCTCAGGGTGCGTGGGAGGCTGCCGTGGAAGCTCCGCCCCTTTAGAGAGGATCTGAAAGGAGGTGGAGCTCGTTAGCAATTTTTTACTAAATAGCTCAAACAGCATCAAATATCTCATGCTAGCACAATATACCTTATTTAGCTGGTAGTGTTTCTGTTTCTCGAGGAAGTGCTGGTGTTGCTGTTGCATTACGAGGTGCTGCAGGGCCTGTGGTGTTTGAGGCAGGGGTGCTGATTGTGTACGGCTCAGCGGCCGGTGCCTAGGCAATTTATTCACTGTACGCATGTTGCTGGACACCCGCTCACCCGTTACCAGCGGAGATTGCCCGTACATGGGAACTGCGTGATAAAGATCAAGACAAAAAGTGTAAGCTGTTACACCTACACATCAAGCTGATAATGTTTACTGTTTTTAACATTAATTTTCTTGTCAACTTGGTATCGTAGTACCGTGACTTTTGACATTTCTTGTTCGCACATTGCAGTCCTGACCTATAAGACCTGAAACGTACTCAGTGCAATTACTTGAATGTAGACTGTTCTAGCAAGTTTAATTTCAAACGTTGTTTTTTTCCCAAGGTGGACATTAGCATAAATTGTCTCAGTTTTCTCTTTTAGGTCAACTACTGGCAACTCATGGTGGAGCAACAGTTTGAAGAGAATCTTGCAGAGTAGATCAGAGCAAATCAGTGAAATTGTCAAAATATACATCTCTAAATAGCTAGTTACCTGAATAATGCATCTGGGTTAAATCAACCCTTGAGAACTGATACTTGCTATGGTCAGAGCAACACAAGAGTGCATTTGCATCTGCATACTATGTAAAGTATGTTTCTTGTCTTAAGGCACTGACACATTGTATGACACATTTACATTTATAGCTTTTTGCGGTGTATTCAGGATAACATGACTGTATACTATGATTTATGTGTACCTGTGAGAAGTGCGCTCTGTTGACGAGCCTGCTCCAACAGTAGGACGTGCTGGAGCAGCGAGGAATGGCTACTGTGGCTATTAGAGGCAGAAGGGGGCTCGGGGTCATGGGGTGCCCCGGTGGGAAGGCACGTCGGCAGGGACGATGTGCTGATGAACTTCCCTGTCAGTGCCCCACCTTGACGCAAACTCTGGATTGCCTGCCGCTCTGCCTCCTGCTGGGCACTGAGTTTCTGAGGAGCCTAGAGTAGAGGAGAAGAGAATGAGAATTTATTCTTCAGACTTGGGAACACTGAGCTGCTTAAAGCTGCAACCAAGGTACCAAAGCCTACAAGGTTGTTTTCACACTTGGTTCGATTGCTTGGTCCAAACCAGAACCAGTTTTATTCCATCCCCTTCTAATGCCCCAGGTGCTCTCCTTTCACATTGTACTTTTGGGTCCAAAACTGCAGTATGTTCGCTTGTTTTATACCAGGCATGGGCGTAGAATATGCAGGGGACGTGTCCCCCCACATTTGATAAAACGTAAATTCATCCCCCGCACTTTATTTGGGCAAGTGTGTGTACAGAGGTTTTCAAGGGCAAGTGTGAATAAATCTAGATTTAAATTCAAAGAGACAAGATAGTCTATGCATGACCTGATGTTTTATTCGTATCCAAAACGAGGCGATATAAACATTATGGAGCACTAAACACGTTCACATGAACCATACCCAAGACTGGACTAGGGTGCGGATCAATCGTGTGCATCTTCTGAAAAACACTTTCACATCAATCAGACCAAAAGCTCTAGTGTGAAAGCATCATAATGATCTAGCCAACCCACTAGGGTTCAGCCTACACCCCTTGCTAACTCTGAATCACTATCACAAAGCCAACCGGGCTTTAGCTGAGGACACTCACCGTGATGTGCGCGTTGGCAGGCAGCCCAAGAGAGATGTTGGGCAGAGATGGAGAGGTGTAGAGGCTAAGGGGACTCGGTGTCCCATCTCCAGTCAAAGACTGATGCAGAGAACGCAACTGCTGCCGAAACAGAAAAGGAGAGAAAAACGTGAGTCCCACAGGACAAGCAACAGACCTATCTTTCAGGATGTACATTTCAAACAGCACAAAGAATCCGTTTTATCTCAGCAAGGCATCCCAGAAAAGGAGTTTCGGCTTGACTTGATCACATGAAAGTATTCTTCTTTGGAAATCCTTACTAAGTTGTATTTGTGACGGGGAAAGCAGCATGTGGGAATGGATTGTCTGTATTTGGGATTGGATGAGCGCCACTTGAAGAAGACAACAGTTTCAGTTGCCACGTTAAAAAAATGAGCTAAGCAGTTATAAGGATATGTAAAATGGGTTTTGCATTGACCCAATTTCTAATTTCTAAAGAGTAAAAAAAGAGAGCTATGTGAGAAATATGGAGGTGTTTCTGAGTGCTGGTAATCCCATCATCTGACCCTATACTTGGAGCGCAGCCATTTTCAAAGCCAAAGAACAAAAACTAATGGATCTGCTTTACAAGGCAACATTTATTCATCCCCAAAGACCCAATTTAAGCCTTTCATTAGAAGTTGTTCGTACAATGTACGTCATTCTCACTCTGACTCAAAGGTTACACTAAGAAAAGACGAGGAAGTAAAAGACAAAGCGGACATTCCGTGGCTAAGTGCCCTACCTGCAGCAGAGATGATGTCAGCATTCTATTCTCCTTCGCATTTATCCATCACTTCTCTCGAGGCTGTACTGCTAGGCTACAAAGGCTCTGGAATAGCGATCTAAGACTATTTTTGGGGAGTGGTACGCAGACGGTGCATGCTGGACAGAGCTAATGAGGTGATTCTTAAGTCATCTCCACTGGCGCCTATTTGAAGGGATTTTTTTTCTCTGGTTGATGAGACTGACAAACTTTATTTCTTTTCTCTTTGACAAACTCCAGCACACTTCATCCTCTATCACATCCACTGGCAATAACGTAACATATTAAAAGATACTATACAAAGGGATGCTGAAAAAATGTTTTCTACCCATAAGAAAACAGAGCGCATAGTCAAGACTCGACACATTATGTACTACTAGCAGAACTGTTTCAGAAAAAAAGTCAATGTAAGCAAACTTCTCCGGCAAACAAGCAAAATACCCCATATTTAAACAGACTGCGGTAAGGATGGCACGACCAAAAGTGTACATCACACAATGAGTAACTGTATACATGGTAAAGATAACACAATAATCATTGGCAAATGAAAAACATGCATAGATATTACTATTATTATTATAAAAAATAAAAATATACAAAAATATTAATATACATTTTAGAATATTAATATTATATGTCAAGTTTAATATGAGAAATTAACATATGTGACCCTGCCTGCGAAAACCCAGCTAAAGTAATTTTTTTGTGATTTACTGTTTTTTACATAAAATCATCCTTCATAAAGATGTAGAACATTCTGTGAAAATATGACCTTTATATCTTTAATATTGACTATATATATATATATAAATGATTTTCTCTTTCTCAAAAGATACTATTTGCAACAAATAAAAATATGTCTGATGCTTGTGCATTAAAATATAGCATAAATACATAAATTACAAAATCACAAACTACATGTAAGCATTGTAAATGGCATTATTTGTTTGAAAAATGTTTTGCAAAGTTTTGCATTTAATATGCTGGTCATCCAAAATGAAATACAAACTGGCTCATTCATATTCATGTTCCTCTCCTACAGCTTCAAGTCCTTTGTGAAATGAGCACACGCAATTTCGCTCTCTCTGGCTCTCAAGGTTAAGGTGATCCTCAAGGCTAGCTGCTTAGCATGCAGGGTTGACCCCAGGCAGCTTCCTGCTGTCCATTCAGAGCAGCTGTGGCCATTCTTGTGCCTATAGATATAACTCACTGCAAGGCTGACTCTTGGAACATTTTTTTGGGGGGGGATTAGCACACCAGTGTTATCCCAGGCCATCACAAGTCTCCGTACAATAGATTGTTTCCATAGAAACAGTGTCATTATCTAGGTAAAGCCAATTTATTGTGTCTTTTTTTATCACCAACCTATAGAGAACCGAGGGGAGTGCGAGAGCAGAAGAGAAACAGACGTGTAGGGGGTAAGTCTCTCACCGCACAATAATCATTGGCAAATGAAAAACATGCATAGATATTACTATTATTATTATAAAAAATAAAAATATACAAAAATATTAATATACATTTTAGAATATTAATATTATATGTCAAGTTTAATATGAGAAATTAACATATGTGACCCTGCCTGCGAAAACATATATAAATGATTTTCTCTTTCTCAAAAGATACTATTTGCAACAAATAAAAATATGTCTGATGCTTGTGCATTAAAATATAGCATAAATACATAAATTACAAAATCACAAACTACATGTAAGCATTGTAAATGGCATTATTTGTTTGAAAAATGTTTTGCAAAGTTTTGCATTTAATATGCTGGTCATCCAAAATGAAATACAAACTGGCTCATTCATATTCATGTTCCTCTCCTACAGCTTCAAGTCCTTTGTGAAATGAGCACACGCAATTTCGCTCTCTCTGGCTCTCAAGGTTAAGGTGATCCTCAAGGCTAGCTGCTTAGCATGCAGGGTTGACCCCAGGCAGCTTCCTGCTGTCCATTCAGAGCAGCTGTGGCCATTCTTGTGCCTATAGATATAACTCACTGCAAGGCTGACTCTTGGAACATTTTTTTGGGGGGGGATTAGCACACCAGTGTTATCCCAGGCCATCACAAGTCTCCGTACAATAGATTGTTTCCATAGAAACAGTGTCATTATCTAGGTAAAGCCAATTTATTGTGTCTTTTTTTATCACCAACCTATAGAGAACCGAGGGGAGTGCGAGAGCAGAAGAGAAACAGACGTGTAGGGGGTAAGTCTCTCACCTCAGCGTGGATGTTTGGAACGGATCCGCTGGAGCCATTCTCGGCAATGGCACAGTTAGAGCTGTTCGGAGAACTGGGACCCGAGCCAGGAGCACTGCTGCACCCAGCTAAAGTAATTTTTTTGTGATTTACTGTTTTTTACATAAAATCATCCTTCATAAAGATGTAGAACATTCTGTGAAAATATAACCTTTATATCTTTAATATTGACTGAGTAAGGCCATGCCAAAGATTGAAATCATAGTGAAATTAATGGTTGAAATCAAACTTTGATGCTTGTTATCTCATAATTAGATTTTGATACTTTAGCCTGGATTTCACAGACAGGGTCACATATGGTATTACCTATTTTTTTAATCAAATTATATATATAAAAAAAATAAAAAATAAAATAAAATAATATATATATATATATATATATATATATATATAAATATAAATAAAAATACCTTTTATGAAACTATTTTTGTTTTATTGTATTTTTTTATTATTTAATATTTATTTTATTTCGTTTTCTTTTCTTTCCTTTTTTTTCTAATGGTCTAAGAATATTTGATCCTACTATGCCCACTCTAATGCTTTCAAGCTGCCCTGTGTGTTCTGGCATTGTTCAGTTGCAGGTCTCAGGGGAAGGAGGTGTGAGCAGCTGGTGCAAAATATATTTAGATGCCTTTATACTTTACGACAAGGGATCTGTCAAAGATAGATCATCATAATTGGAGAGTCCTTAGCATAAAAAAATTGAAAACCTCTAGCCAGAAAGTAGTTCTTGGTTCAAACCGTTTTTAATGCCTTCCTTTTCCATAACTCATGAGGTTATGCAAACAGTCCTGCATTCTCACATATGGTTTACCTGAGATCTCAATCGCCCTTTTCTTGAAGGTGCTGATCACAGTACCATCTTTCCGTCTAAGAAGTGGGCTGCTCCTCCTCTCAGCCACCTTCTGTTTTAACCGTGAACGTACCTTCAGATTGGGCTCAGAGGCTGAACAGAAGAGAGAAAGAAAAACAATTCAACCACTTAGAAAAGTAAAAGCAAACCCTGCATGATTTGAGGGGTCACTTATGCGGTGTGAGTTGCAAAGCAAAGTTTACTACTTAGGCTCAGGGGCTTGTTCAAAATCCTCAACCCTAATTATGAGCAATTATAATAGTGATGTTTAACTTAAGCACCACAAATGAGTGTTTGCATCTGTCGCTGTTGTGCATCAGGACCATGGACAGCAACCGCCAATCCCTTCCTGTTTCTCTCTTTCTCTCACACACTCACTGAAATATAGATAAAAGTTGTATTTACAGCGTGCCGATTTTATCTCTTGTTAACTCCGGAGATGCCGGGCCAAATTAAACAAATTGAAGTAAAAAGGGATTTGAAAGAAAAAAAATTGGGGCAATTATCCAAACATGCCGTGTGTAAAGCAGCTTGACTGAGCCCTGTGTGTTTTTCTGGGCCCGTTTGTGCGTTACAGCCACACTGGGCATATAGAGCAGAAAGGACTTTAGCCTCTAATGCTATCAGTGTCTTTAGTATGGATTTAATTAGATTTAAAATAAAAGTGTGAGACGAGGGGACGGGATGGAAAGACACACATTAACTGAGGGCACGTTATGTAAGGAGATTGCTGTGGTGTTGACATAACAGTGGTAATATAGAGTAAGCGCTTTTCCCACGGTAACGGACCCGTCTGCGATTACTTTATCAGTGAGCTGAAGTACCAAGCTCACTTGGACTTGTGTGTGTGTGTGTGTGTGCGCGCGCAAGTGTTCTCCTATCCTCTGGATGGTATATGTGTGTGAGTTCTATTATAGAGAGCTTTATAAAGCAATGTGGGTGTGACAGTTTAAAAGATAGCCGTGTTTAAAAAGCAGATAGCAGATGTGTGTGTTTGCGGGAACAAACTCATTGAATCTGTGTGGGAGTTTTGGAGTATGGCTGTCGGCTATGAAAGTGAACAGCAAATGACCAGCAGGACTTTGAAAAAAATCTCATAAATATAGTCGAAAACACGTCAAAAATGATTTGAGAAGGTTTGAGGTTAGGGCTGAACGATTTTGGAAAATAATCTAATTGCGATTTTTTTTTTATACCAATATTGCGATTGCGATATTATAGGCCATGCCTATATGATGATGCATGAATTGATATGAATGACATTTTTATTTAACAACTACAATCACAGTATATTGACTGATTTGTTGAACTTCCAACCTTGTAAGCATGCAATAATTATGACAACATAAAGCAAATAACAAATAAGCCTGGTGTAAACATTAATATGAAAGTCAGTAACAAATCACACAAACTAAAGTAGATTGCAGAAATATAAAAACAAATCTGTTGCTTTACTACACTACTTTAGGTAATTCAAAGTCACTGTAATAAACATATGTAAACATGTGGACTGCACTAAACACTGTCTGTTAACTTTAGATCAGTGGCTCTCAAACTTTTTTGGTCACGCCCCCCTTTAAACCTATAAAAAAATCTTCCCCCGAATCCCCATCCCACCTCAGACTACCAAATAATTTCACTAAGCATTATGAAAAATTTATGCTTTTTTAATTAAAAAAACCTACTGGGAAAAAACACCTGCATCACTTGAAACATTGAAAAATAGCATAGAGAGAATAACTTGTCCGCTAAGGCATAGGACACACACACAGGCTTTCCTCCTCACCAACGACATTAAACACCGTGTAAATCGGATTTGCACGTGAGCGGCAACATACAGTAGAACCCAATATAATCAGTGACACTGTCTACACTAGATGCGCTGCGGAGCGACAATAGACTGTATAGGGCGCGACTCGACAAAACCCGACATTAAACTGATTCCTTGTTCGATTTATAACGTACTGACACAAAATTAAAATGATTTGCAACGGTCACTTTGTCACGTCCAGTGTAGAGCTGTAGCATCTGGTATAGATACGGTGAGTGAAGCCGAGAGCAAGATATGCCTCGTCATATTTTCTGCATTTAGCTTTTAAATGACTAGCACCTTGCAAATGCAATTAATCGTTCAGACTTATTTGAGGTGCTTCTCGCTATCTGAATCTCTCAGAAAGAGGGCCGTCCTTAGCTGACGCGGGGCCCGGTGCGAGGTAGGGAGCGGGGCCCCCCTCGGTCCGTTCGCATTCACGTTCCGGTGGGGTGGGGGTTAGGGGGGTCCCCCTCGGTGCGTTCGCCGCGAGGCCCGGTGCGGCCGCACCACTTGCACCCCCCTAAGGACGGCCCTGCTCAGAAACAGACTAAATTGAGTTTAGCTTCAAATCTAATAATGTCAGCAGGCTGTGTGAGGGTTAAATTGTGGAATAATAAATATCATTATTTTTGTATGAAAACCATTTTGTCACTAATTTAGCCTCTAAGGCAGGGTTATTATGGTTAACTAAAAAATTTAAAACATTCTCGTTACTTGAAACAAAACAAATGTTATCTGAAAAGAAAAAAAATCTAAAAATGTCTTTTTCAGCTAGTCACCAACATTTCTCATTCAAATTTAGTTTAACTTGACGTACCAAAATAATAATAATAATAATAATAAATATATATATATATATATATATATATATATATTATATGTAATAATATAATATATATAAACAAATAAATCTAAATTACAATTTTAAAATTAAAATGAAAACAAAAAAAACTGATTATTAATGAAAACTATACCAGTATTGCAATGGTATTAAAATAACTGTGCTCTAAGGTGTGTGTTTGTGTGTAGGTCAGCTGTTCTGATGACTCATTATGACTCACACCTGCAGACTCCTCACTTCATCCCTACACACACACACACACACACACACACACACACACACACACACACACACACACACACCCTTGCATCTTCTGCGACACCTCTGCACTGTTAAACAGCTCAAACTTCTCCACAAAAAACAAAATGCTGGTGATAACAAAATAAAGACAACAAAGATAACAAAAAGAACTACATTTGCATTTTTCTGGAGGAAATACAAGGGCTTGCAAAACAGTAAAAGGAAAGTGTCTACTGGTAAAATGATCCAGAAAAAGAGAAGACAGCCAGAGGAATTGAAGAAAAGGCAACCCAGCTGACATCAACAGCTGAAGTGAGAGGGCTGGTATGAGATCATCACTAGAAGTTACATTCTTACACTGTAAATCCATGAGTGACTTTTCAAACTTTATTATTTCAATTATAATATATTTTAAAATGTAATTTATTCCTATGATGGCAAAGCTGAATTTTCAGCAACATTACTCCAGTCTTCAGTGTCACATGATCCTTCTGAAATTATTCTAATATGCTGATTTGCTGCTCAAGAAACATTTATTATTATTATTATCAATTATTCTTTTTCTTATTATAATCAATGATGAAAAGAGTTGTGCTGCTTAATATTTTTGTGGAAACTGTGACACATTTTTTTCTGGATTGTTTGATGAATGGAAAGCTCAAAAGAACAGCATTTACTTGAAATAGAAATTTTGTGCAACATTATAAATGTCTTTACCGTCACTAGGGCTGGGCGCGATATGGCCAAAAAATGATCTCGATATTTTTTTTTCCATATCAGTCGATATTGATAATCATCACGATAAATGTTACATTTTTATTTCTTTCAAGTTTAAAGGCAGATTTTTGCTCCAATGTGAAAGTTGTAAAAACCAGATGGTTAATTGTGGTTTTAAACTATTATTTATGGCCAGAACATGACAAACACTTCATTTTTGAATTCTTTACACTTCTCCAGTAATTTTTCCTTAACAAAATAAATATCTTAATAGAAACAAATAATTTCTTAGTTCTGCATGTTATAGTAATGAGTAATATTGTTTCAAATCAAGAAACAAGTTTGTGTTACCTGATAATATTAATTACATTTTAATTAAAAGAAATTTGTCTCTTAGAAATACACATTTGATAGTAGCTTGAGTTAGGATGCAGATAATATCTGTAAAAATTGTAGCAATCTCATTTTTATATGGTGAAATTGAATTATTCTGACTGTTTAAGGTGTTTTTTTAACAATTGGTCTTCCATAACATACATTTAGATCATGATAATCACAGTTAAAACCACAAATATAGCACCCCAATACCATGGTAAAAATTTTTTATGGCTTGTAGGTATTTATGAGAAACAGTAGTCTAAATGCATCTATAAATGCATAAACGCTATAGCTTAATAACAAAAAAAATACTGTAATTATATTCCATTACTCCTCCTTCAATATATTTAATACATGTCTACATTAATAATATAATAAAATTCGACACGAATACCCACATTTCTGACACAATACCATGCTGCAGTTAGTGTTACTACAGTAAATCCATGGTAAATGATGGCGATTTGTAGATTAAAAAGTCTTCTGACTGTATCGTTGCGCACAGTGTTTCTGTTATTTGTCAGCACTGTTTCATCTGCGTGTAAACAGAGTTATTTGTGACCCTGGACCACAAAACCAGTTATAAGGGTCAATTGTTTGACCCTTAAAAAGCTGAATAAACAAGCTTTCCATTGATGTATGGTTTGTTAGGACTGGTCAATATTTGGCTGAGATACAACTATTTGAAAATCTGGAATCTGAGGGTGCAAAAAAAGCTAAATACTGAGAAAATCGCCTTTAAAATTGTCCAAATGAAGCTCTTAGCAATGCATATTACTAATCACAAATTAAGTTTTTATATATTTACAGTAGGAAATTTGCAAAATATCTTCATGGAACATGATCTTTACTTAATATCCAAATGATTTTCGGCATAAAAGAAAAATGGATCATTTTGACCCATACAATGTTTTTTTGGCTATTGCTAAAAATATACCCAAGCGACTTAAGACTGGTTTTGTGGTCCAGGGTCACATTTGTGTTCCTCGCTGAATTCAAGCGCTTCACACCGGATCTCACAGCGCTGTTCAGTGTCGCGTGCACAAGACTCATCAGCGAGTGAACACATCTGCTCTAGTGAAGCTAGATTAAAGCTTCTGTTAACATAACCAACGTGACCACCTGCTTGCACAGGGTGCCTGCTGGGGACTATTTTCAGGCGCTGCGTAATATCATTGCGCCTGCTGCACCCATGGTATGGCAGCAAAGTTCCTTGACTATTACGCCGGAATGAGAGTACAGTTCCTAGCCATATCGGCCTAGAAAATCGCAACTTTTCATTTTCCGTCAGTCTTAGTACACGATGTAACTACAGAAGAGTCAAGTTTTAAATAGGAAAAATATCGAAACACTTTGGTCATTTTTGAGCGAGATGCTAACGGTCTAATCAGATTCAATGATCTATGCTAAGCTACAGCTAAAAGTGCTACCGCCAGACCCGGAGATCAGCTGAACGGATTCGAAAACAGTAAAACTCAACTGTTTAACTCTAACAGTTAATTGCCTATTTTCAAAAATAGTGGAGTGTTCCTTTAAACACCAACAGTTTATTACTAAATATTGGACATAAACGAACACGTTAAATATAAAGTATTTAAAACAGTCAAGTTCATATATTTGGAGTAAAGTTAAATTAAATGGCTACATCAGTCATACAGCGCTCAGGACCGTGCGCCATGACAAGCCTGACACACCGCCACAGAAACCAGAATGAGATGCGTTCTAACATAACTGGCATTAAACTCAGTTAGTGAGGGCTTGGTTAAAATATTGCACATATATAGGCCATTCAGATTACTTGTTAAAGTGTAACGAAATACCTTATATCAGCAGACGATGTACGTCTGTGTTTGTGGATAGAGACTCCTTCACCGGCTACAGCCTTTAATCCTCATTTGCTCATTTGCAGGTGCGGTGCAATTCGATAATAATAGCCGAATTATAATGGGCCGCCTAATAATAATAATTATTATTTAAAACATTAATAGGAGAATGAGCCTCATATCGTCTTGACTATCGACTTAGACATATGCTATCGTCGATACACGATACTATCGTCACAACCCTATTTTGAACATTAATGTAAAATTGTGAAGTAAAAAGCACAGTTCATTTCATATAAACAAGAAGCCTACTCACCGGTCTTACGGAGAGGGAAGTCATCCTTGCCCTCATAAGACCCTAACAGTGGGGGGAGTTTGTAGGAGGGTGGCGTGCCCGGTGTGTTGCTCTGTGGAGGGGAGCTCTGCTCCAGGGACGCGTGGTGAGCCCCCCTAAAAAAACAAGCAGTCCATTACAAAGACTCATCCATCACAATTCAAATGAGGACAAATGAGACCCATAGACATGACGTAATATCAGTATGCTCATGTTATGGACAAACTCATTTAACATCATACTGCAGAAAAATAGTGCACATTGAACCTGAAGAAAAGGTGCATTTGAATTGGGTTTACCAGCCCAGAATAAGGCTGAGTGATATAGACTAGCAAGGTTTTGCTCACCAGCACTTCTGAGAGAAGGAATGGTTTAGTCCACCAGAGCCAGGTTCCTTTTTGCTCAACAGGAACTCCTGCAGCTTCAGTTTGACCTCAGTACTGGCAATAGCACCTGAGGACAGAGTCAAAGGACATCAAAAGTCATGTTTGAGTGGAGGAGAATGACAGTAAGATTTTGACAAAAAAAATTATTATATATATTATATATTTATATTCATAATATATATATATATATATATATATTATATATATATATATATATTATATATATTTATTTAGTCATTTATCAGATGCTTTTATCCAAAGCGACTTACAAATGAGGACAACAGAAGCAATCAATTGTAGTATTAAAACAACTAAAAACAGATCCAAAACTAAAATCTAAAACTTTATAAATACTACCTATACACATTTTAAAATAAAGAGATTAAATAAAAATGACAAATGCATACAACAAAATTTCAAAACTTAACATTTAAATGAAAAACAAAAAATAAAGCTAAAAACAATCCAAAATATTAAAGAACAAAAGGTATAAGAGTATAATAATGATTCTAACATAACACTAAGCCAAACACCAAAAAAAAAAAAAAACTGCATAACTGTGCATTAAACTCAGTTAGTGAGGGCTTGGGTTAAAATATTGCACATATATAGGCCGTTGAGATTACTTGTTAAAGTGCAACGAAATACCTTATATCAGAATACCTTATACCCGAATTATAATGGGCCGCCTAATAATAATAATAATAATAATTTAAAACATTAATAGAAGAATGAGCCTCATATCGTCTTGACTATCGACTTAGACATATGCTATCGTCGATATCTCTGACTATCGTCGATACACGATACTATCGTCCATCGGCACAACCCTATTTTGAACACTAATGTAAAATTGTGAAGTAAAAAGCACAGTTCATTTCATATAAATAAGAAGCCTACATAAAAAAAAAAACAATTGTGTGTGCTATGTATTTTTTATTATAGGTACATTTTCATACTTTGTCTTACAGACAGATTGTTGGCTTAGTAACATGCTAATTAAAGCTCTATTGGTATTATTAAGAGTCATGTGAATACTGCACATAATAGCTGCCTATGTGTGCACTTATGAGGTTACTATGAGATACTATGTAGGCAGTAGGAAGCTTACTAGGTTTTGGAGATGATCCAATATGTTAATTTTGTGGTTCAATAATACCTAGTACTGCATTGTGTCGTTTTTTTGTGTGTTAACAACCAAAGATGAGAAATAATAGAGAAATCTGTGCCTGCTGTGCTTAAAGTACTTCAAGGGATATCCATGACAGTGTGTAATTACAGCAGCAAACAACAATAAACCTTAGCTACGCACTGCTCAGCAAGGTGTTGATTCATTGAACTAAAAGGTGAACAGTGTAGATCTACTGTAGTGTATATAATGGATGGATTAATGGAGAGTTACATACTCTCTTTGCCCTTCTCTTTGTTACGTAGCATGATGAGCTGTTGTTCCAGTCTCTGCTTCTCCACCTCTTCGTGACGCTGCTGTTCCAACTTCCTCTTCTGCTCCAGCTCCTGCTGACGCTTTGCGACAAGGATCTCCTGCTGCTGCTGTTTAGGAAGAGTTCAGAGGTCAAGAATCAAAGTTCAAGGAGATGATGTATACAGAGAGGACCGAAAGAGTCATACCATAAGATGTTCCTGTAGCTGCACTTCATGTTGGCGTGTCAAAACCTCGTGCTGCTTCTGGAACTCGGCGAACAGCAGCTGTTTCTGGAGCTCTTGTTGTTGTTTCAGCAAGAGCAGCTCGTGTTGTAGCTGTTTTTCCCTCATCGCCGGGTCCACCGTGTTTAGTGTGCTCAGACGCGGGTCTGTACGCAGGTCCACCGGCCCTCCGCTACCTCCGCCCTGATCTCCTCCACCTCCCACCGGGCTCTGCATCCCAGAAGGTAGCAAGGTCTTCACATCCACTGCTGGAGAGACAGAGAGATAGTCAAGCAGACAGTCATTAGAGTTATAACCTGTTAAACCTTAAAGGTGAAGCCTGAAATTCATGCATCACAAACAGAATAAGGATTGTTTCCCAACAAATATATTTCTTAGCAACATCTTCTACATAATTAAAACAGCCTTAGCGTTTATCTTTTTGTAGCAGTTTAGCTACAAATAAGTAACAAACAGTATTAAAGAATAGTGCCTTTATAATAATTTGAGCAAATGCTAGGCTAGCAGGCTTAAAAGTTAATAGTATGCTAACATAGCAGGTTAATTATTTTGCAGAAGGCCAAGATTGAAGGCTATTGGTTACTCGTATGCTAAGATAACAGGCTAATCTGTGAACAGAGAACAAGCTGTTAGGCTAAATGGCTACCTTGCAAGTGGAAATTTTTTTTTAAATTTAATTTAACAATGAATATCTTCTTTCTGTATACATATATATATGTGATAAAATAAAAATAAAAATTTTAAAAGCCAGAGTTGAAAATTACATAAATCATAATAATTTAGAGGGACAAACTGCATTTGCTTCAGGACCTAATTTAGTACCAAAATGAAACAATTTGTTTAAAATTCAACATTCAATACTTTCGGGTGAGAAATATTTTTTGAAAGAAATGAAGACTTTTATTAATACTTTTTATTAATCAAAAGTGACAGAAATCTTTTGCAACATTGTAAATGCCTTTACTATTTCAAATAAATGTTGTTCTTTTGAACTCTTAAAGGGGTCATTTGATGCTTTTTTAAAGATCATTATTTTGTGTATTTGGTGTAACAGAATATGTTGACATGCTTTAATGTTCAAAAAACACATTATTTTTCAAATACTGTACATTATTGTAGGTCCTCTATGCCCCGCCTCTCTCAAACGCTTAGTTTTCTACAAAGTCCCTCCTTCCGACAAGCGCAGTCTGCTCTGATTGGCCAGCTGACCCAGTGCATTGTGATTGGCCGAACACCGCAAGCACTCGTCGGAAATGTAACGCCCCTTACCATAATCGCGAGCTTCAGCTTTCAAAATAAATGTAAAGACAGAGCCTGAAAGGGGAACAGAGTCACGTGACACAGTGATGAAGCTGGTCTCTCTCACACGCACGCGCACGCACGCACACACACACACAAGGAAAACTTGAAATCGCATCATATGACCCCTTTAAGTTATCAGACAAGGATCCTGAAATAAATGTATCACGGCTTCCACAAAAATATTAAGCAGCATAACATTATCATTAACATTGATAATACTGTAATAAGAAATGTTTTTTTGAGCAGCAAATCAGCATATCTGAATGATTTCTGAAGGATGATGTTACACTGAAGACTGGAGTAATGATGCTGAAAATACAGCTTTCAGTAAATGGAAGCACTGATGAATGGTTGAAACCAAAACGTTTTACACTTTTGCACTTTTTTGTGGCCTCCATGGAATAAATCGACATGAGCGTTTGCCTATGTTTTTGTGTGCGGATCCTTGTTTTTTCATGTTTCAGTAATACATTTTTTTTTCCAGAAAGATAAAAAAACAATTTCTTTAAAATAGAAAGTCATTTTGGATAAAAGTGTCTGCCAA